ATATATGATTACTAGTATTTATAAAAAAAGATCAATCATTATTGTTTTTCTTACTTGAATATTGCAATGAGTAGACTCAACATCAGAATATTGACAAAAAGCATATGAAAAGCTAGAAGAACATGAGTTACTTTAGCTTCTGCTATTTCATTTGCTGAACTTGTGTTTGATGAGATTATTTCTATAAAAAGAAACGAACTCGCTTTATTGAATGTACTTTAACGAATGAAACTCATTTACTATCAAGTTTATCTTTATCATCGACAACCGAGTATAAAAACCAGTAAGGTGGATATAGAACGGAAGACGCGATACTGTCTGCAGTAAACTCAAGATCTGAATACATGATAAGTGCTCTTGAAACAACACCGTAAGCAGCAAAGCATACAAAAATAATGTATATGATGCCAACAAGATCACGCATCTTAAATTTTAGAGATATCGCAATAGAAAACAACATATTTACTGAGATTATATTACCATGTTGCGAATCATTAATAGTTTAGGTCCTAAGATTTTGACGGCGCTTACAAAGCGTAATGAAAAGAGATACCATATTTCAAGATCAATTGCCAGTACAATCCTATATCCAATTTTCATCTACACTATTATTGCATTAATGATCATATTGTACAAACCTAGCTGCTGTGAACAAACCAGAATTTGTCGACGAATTGAAGTGAAGTCCAATGCCAATGTAGAACAAAATATAAGGTGCCAGATAAACGAGTAACATCCAGAGCTCTGATTTATGCCATCTTTCCATCATTTTTGTGTGATATTCAACGATGGCCTGAAATTTTTAATAAAAAACAGAAAGATCATTTTTCTATCAAATCGCTCATGTAATAATAGTAAAAAGTTTCTTCAAGATGCTTTAGAAAACAGGTAGTACCAGATAGAACCACTTTAAAGTCTTGAAAAATATGATCCAGATGAATGTTAGAGTAGATTACATTTACATTGATGTATACAAGCTGCTTGAAGGCAGAATGTACAGCACAAACATTGTTCATCATGGATAACTATCACCTACATGTCGAATATCTTCGATGAAAGCCGCTGAAACGGTGATAATCAAGTAGATTTCGGCCCAATGTGTTGACTCATGTGCAGATCTCATGCGAAATAGCATCCAAAAGCTGAATACCAATAAAAACCATACATGAAGAAACTGTAACATTATATATATGCACATGAAATCAATAATGTATTTCATGCATGAAACTCACAAATTGATAAGCCATCATGACGATGGGACTTCCGTGAAATTGTAAAAATTTGAGACCATAGCTGGTTTCTCGATATTTTTGATCGTCTATTCCAACAACGTTTCTAAAAGATATCTTTTTTGAAATTTCGAAAAATATAAAAATTCTGTCATTGGTTTTGAAACTTCCTGTACTATCTCAAAGTTTGGAAACCTTCACGTAACCTTACTGTTTAAGACATAACACTTTGAATTTATATAGAAACCAATATTCTGTTGTGAGTTTGATTAACTTCAAAATTTACAACTGAGAGATAAGGTACCTGTGAGCAGATTCTTCTTGCTTGGATTCGTCTGGTTCAATCTAACAGATAAAAAGAAAAATGTTTTTAGTAAGCTTTTGTAAAATGGTAAATCAACAAGAGATTTCATCATGACAATGAGTATCATAGGTGACCATCATCAGTAATAATCTATATTTGTGCGTCATGCCTTTTTAAATAGTTAAGGTTCAATAAAGTAATTTTTAACAGTATTTGGAGATGCTGTTATTTCACTAATTTCTAAGGCTTTTATGTAGAGCTTTTCTGTGTATCTTCATGTCTCTTCATCATGCATTGTACACTTTTATGAAAAAAATAGCGGTAATTATTACGTTAAAAAGTGTATTAAGACAGGTTAGCGAACAAGTTTATGAAAGAATTTATCAGATTCCTTTTTTAAATAATATTTTTTCCTGGAGTAGTTGCAGGACAAGAAAAAATGGTTGATTAGGTCACAGAGACCGAAACGAGTCAAAAAAATTCAACTCGACTCGACTCGACTCGACTGAACCATTCAATCGACTCGGCTCGACTCGACATGCATCTAAAAAACATCTGACTCGGCTCGACTCGACTCGAACTCGAGCCGAGTCGAGTCGAGCCGCCGAGTATCGATTCAAAATCGAATGTTTAGAAGTACATTCTTAATATCAAGAATGAGAAGAAATTTAGACACACATTTCACTTGTATCATAGTGATGAAACATCCATGTCGGACCACACGAAAAGGAAACCGTCAGCTTCAGGAAATTGCGACAATTTCTTGAAAGCAGTATTTGAGACTTGGAGATCTCAGATTTTGTTTCTGTGTCTTCCCATTAAAATCCTGTCTTTGTCGCTCAAAGATGGTCGGAAGTCATCGAAAAAGTCCTTCGCTCTTTCCACTTGATGTACTGCTTCGATTTTCTATCGATTTTCGGAGGTTCTCTGTCAGAAACAGAAATTTTCTACAAGTTTTCTACTCGGTTTCAGAGCTTGGAATTATCGTCTCGAATAATTCTGAATCATTTTCTTGCGCGATTTCGGCAATACTGCAGGCCGATTTCTTCTCCCCATAAATGTTCCAAGACTATTCGAAACGGTCCTATTGGATGGAATGGTTAACATATTTCATCGATTTCAATATTCTAAATATGATCAAATATTTGATCATATAAACATCCATTCTGTTTTGATCATCTTTTTGCGATAGATAATGAAATAATGCAATACACTACTAAATCTGCTGCACGTCGCATGCCGATCACTTACATAGGCTGACGATCAATCAAGTCATTGCATTCTAATTAATCTTTGAACAGTCAATAATGCATTGAATACAATGAAAGCTAGTGTATATCATTCATTGTAGTTTATTTAGCGTCATCAGTTCATCGCTGTCTATTCATTTTAATGCTTTGTTCAACCTATTCATTGAAATGAATTGACATTGTCTCATCTCGGTTCGTCTAACGATGACGATGACTAATATTGAGAAACAAATGATAGAATTATGAAGAAATTTTTAAAAAGTCGAATCGTTGGGGTCAAATTCGACTCGACAGTAGATCTGACTGG